CAGAAAAATGTTCCACCTGAAAAATCTAGTTATCCTATGGTATTATATGAACTGTGAGATGAAATGTCTTTGGGGAAATTTTAATTAAAAAAATCAATTTCTTTACAATGGCTATAGTATTTGATGAGTAATATAATAGATATTTTTCATCAGAGTTTCAGTATTTTGTGAGTAATAGTTGACAACGGTACATCACATGTCTCTCAGTAAGCATTTTAATGGTTATTCATGTACTGATTTTTAATGAATACCACAAAACTTTAAAAATAAAATGTTAATTGTATTTCAAAGATTAGGCAACAGGGACAGAAAGATATAATTCAGAAAGACTATGTTTACGTAAGCCTGTGGTTCTTCCATTTAAACCTGGCAAGCATACTTACATAGCTTGGAACTTGACACAGGTTATACTAGGACTTGCCAAACTGATAGTGGTCACTCAGGGTCAGACCCATACTTAGAGTACTGTGTAGCAGCAAAACTTACACAAGAATGAATGAGAATAGCAGGAGAGTTACAGTAAATCAAAGTTGATGTGGTTGGGAATTTCAAATGAAGATAAGTATTTTTAAATAATAAGAATATACAAATTTATCAAATATTACAGGGACACTGGACAAATGACAGATGGTGAGTGAGATGACAGCTATTGAAAGTCTTGTAAAACAACAGTGTGTGTGTGTGAGAGAGAGAGAGAGAGAGAGAGAGAGAGAGAGAGAGAGAGAGAGGGAGAGAGAGAGAGACAGAGACAGAGACAGAGACAGAGACAGAGAAATGAGCAAAAACGTGCCTGGAGTGAGTTTAACGTTAAAAGCTCCATCTGGAGTGGGTCAAATGCGGCGGTTGGATTAATGAGCACCAATGATACTAGGTATTTGAACAAGTTTAATAACAAAACCAGACTCACGAAACCAAGGTTCCAGCGGAGTACCCAGCGGAGACAGGAAGGGGCGCGCAGCCTCTGCCCGCCCAATTTATCAGTAAACATACGCCCGAGGGCAGCCCGCCCCCAAGGGGAGGGCTTATCCCTACAGTCAAAGAAGTGAGAACAATTTAAAAGTACTACATTAAAGAGATTTTCCTTTTAAGATACAAACTTCAGCAATAAAGGTTTTCATTACAATTACAGGATATTACGGGAAGGAAAACACTGAAGATATGAGAAGTATCAATTGCTAAATACCAGTCATTGCATAAATTCAGGAGATTGAATGTATAATAAAAAGTATATAGATGAAAAAATGTATAAATGTAAAACGTTGCTATAAAGAGAGAGCACCCATCACAATGTAACAGTCACTGCATAACCATAGATTATAGTGATCAGAGCATCACATACAACTTTCTTTACTGGGCCATTGTGGCTGACACAATTCTGCTGGGGGTAGACTACTGATATGTTAGTGATGGGCAATTGTGGTTGATACAGTTCTGTTGTGGTAGCCTACTGATATGTTGCTGGTGGTCAATTGTGGCTGATACAGCTTGTGGTAGACTACGGTTCTGCTGGTGATGGGCAATTGTGGCTGATACAGTTCTGATTACTGATTTGCTTGTGATGGACAATTGTGGCTAATATAGTTCGGCTTGTGGTAGACTACTGATATACTGGTGAAAAGGCATTGGAATAGCAGAGCCACCGTGAGATTCTACCGTGTTCTCCGTGGTTCCTTACCAATATTGCTAATGCACTATCAAGACTTTAGTTAGATTTTGTCTATTACTTCACAGATGCGAAATTTGAAGTTGAGAGAATAAACATCTCCCTGAGCACCACTTAGCTGCCATGTGACACAGGTGTGCCACAGATTTCAAATTTGCAATAATCTTTCTAGAATGACTACAAAATGTACCACCCCGTATAGGATCTATTTCAGCGGAAGTCACAGATGCAATAATTGTGAAGGAAAATAAGTATGAACCAAAATTTGAGGAAGCAAAAAGGATATACATCAATCTAAATTTTCCTCTGCCCCTCGATTTTTGTTTAGTCATCATTTTAAATATTGCATTTGATTTCTTAATGTTCTCCCATATTTATCATTGGTATACCTACTTTCCTCTTTTGGATTTTTAAATTTATTTCTGCTTCATTTTGTTTTCTCTTAGACAAGGTATCACCAGGTAGCCTAGCAAACTTAGATCTCATATGTTGGGCAGCCTGGCCTTGGACTCTTGGCTACCAAGCCTCAACCTTCAAATTCAAGCAATACTGATGTGCATTACCAAGGCAGTTAGTTATATGATAATTTTTAACATCCATGAACAGTTTGCATTAAAACCAAACAAAATTTAGAAAGTTTGAAAACTGCAATAAAGACAAGAACATTTAAATATGCCTAAAGGATTGTTTATTGAAATGACTGGAAAGGAAATGGGTTCTCAATTTCACAAACTATTTTGTATACATTATTGACATGCATTTTTACCTTAGTATGTAACTTTTATGATATTATATGAAGTACAATTCAAAAGCATAAAGAATCCACAAGTCAAATTCAGATGAAATGAATGCCGTATTATACATAGAATAAATAAAAGAATAAATTTTTTCCATGTAGATTCATTCAAAAGTGTAACATTTTTTGTAGCATGATCTGAAGATGAAAAAGTTGTTTCATTTCCAGTCTCAGTCAATTCTGTGGGAAAAAAAAGTAGAATCAGTTCTGATTTCCAAGTCAGTGGTTCTCAACCTTTCTAATGCTGTGACCCTTTAGTACAGTTCCTCATGTGTTGGTGACCACAACAATAAATTTAATTCAATGCTATTTCATAACTGTAATTTTGCTACTGTTTAAAACCATAATGTAAATATCTGATATGCAGGCTATCCAACATGTGACTCGTGTGAAAGGACCTGTCCCTCCCAATGGGGTCTCTAACCACAGGTTGAGAATCATGGTTTTATATTCATTCACCTTTCGCCAGTTGCAGTACACAAAAAGCAGTTGCTTTATAAAGGTAAACTATGCTCCTTTCCTTAGAGGCATAAAACTTGTATTCAATGAATAGGCTCACAAGAAATTGTTGCAAAATGTCTAGTCTTTCTTCAGTCCTAAATAGTTTTGTAGTTTAGAACTTCAAATCTATATTATCTGCCCTATTGTACCTTTTTAATACCTGGACTGAGTAATTTGCTTTTGAATCATGAATTTAAAAACTATTTTAATTGTAGTAAACATAAAATTTATGAAACAATGTATGCATTGAAATGAAAATTGTGCTGTAATGAAAGCTATAATGTATTCACATAAAATATAAAAAACTTCATTTCTAAGTTTCTTTTAACTTAATTATATAAAATGTAAAGATAAAAGATTTTTGAATTAGACAGATTTATATTAGTGGCAAAAAATAAAATTAAAATTTCCTTGAAATTTAAGCTATGCCTCATGTCACATTGGTAAGAAGCTGTCAACCAGTGAGAGAACAGTGATAAATAAATTAATACTGTGATTAAATTTGCTACTCTGCCATGTTTATATAAAATAATGAAATATAAAAAGATGTCAAGTACAAAAATTCACTCTGTCCTTCAATTTCCAGAAACTTACCAAAAATGAGGAGGAGATATTATCTTGGAAATCCTCTTAGACCTAAATTCAAGCAAATACAAATAAATAAGTGCAATTTTTCCCTTTTAATGTTGTACCTGCCTAAAGTGTATCTATAGATCAAATTAAACAACTCAACCTTTTGACCCCATGCACATATACTCCAATAACAAATAAACTGCAATATGTGGATAATAAATATGCACAAGGAAATTTGAGAACTCTGCTGAAGAAACTTTGCTACTCAATCTAATAAATTTTCATGTTTAACTGTAGTCTAGTCAGCCTTAATACTCTTGAAATCAGAATTTTAAGTCGACCTGTTAAATCAGCATTCTTGGAATTGTCTACTTCCAACAGACCATGACTTTTGTCTTGACAATCATAACAGTTATTTCAGAGTCTGTAAGGTCCTAGGCACTGGGATTAGGTGGAAGTGAAGATCTCCAGGTGACTCTATTTTGTAGCCCACATTGAGGATTTTCTATTTATGGATGAATTACACATCTCTTCTTCCATTCTACAGCTCCCATTTCTTCTATTAGCGTTATCATATGCACATTTTGAGGGCAATTTAAAAGGAAGTAAATTTCGACTTACAGTGATGGGTTGAGGTGACTGATTGGCAAGAAACTGGACGGCGGGTCTAAACAGAACATCTAGGTACTGAAGAAGGGCTTGGGCAGGCATATCTGTTTGAAGGAAGGGAGCTACTTGCTGGAGGAGGTACAGAACTTTGGACTGAGGAATAGTCAGCTGGGTCTGAGAAGAAACCACAGGAGTCTGAAGAAAAGCCTGCAGGGTCTGTGCCAGAGCCTGGACCTGAGCCTGAGGAATGTGCTGGTTTGCAAGATTAGCAAGACTGAGGACTTGAGGGTTAATCAGGTGGAGCAGAGTTTCAGAGTTAAGAGCAGATGCGGCTTTGTGCTTGGGAAGGATGGTAGCTTTAGCTTTAAGGAAAGCTTCCAGTTCAGGAGAAAGGACAGGCCCAAGAGAAGGCACTACAGGGGGTTGAGCAATAGGTAGTGGTTGAGCAACAGGCTGGGTGTTTTGTGCAAAGGGAGTGCAGGAGATGGGCTGGTCATAAGGAAAGGCCTGAGGTTGTGGCTGAATGAAGGGATGAACTTTGTCCTGGAGCACTTCCTAGAAAGAAAAGAACCTTTCAGTGCATGATTCAGCAACATCATCCTTCTTAATTAATTAGTAATCTTTTAACCAATGGTAATTGAGCAAAGGCTTTTGCTTAAGAAACTGTCCTGACCCTGGCTGGGTATGGTGTCTAATGCCTCTAGATCTTTCAGTTGAGAGTTTGAACCAGGAAGATTTTGATAACTTTGAGACCAACCTGAAGTAAATGGTGCATTCTAAGCAAGTCTGGGTACAGAGTAATAAGCAATCTCAGCAGTTTTTTTTTTTTTTTTTTTTAATGAACAAAATAGGAAGACATTCTCTTGGGTCATATTAAGAAATTAAGTACAGTGTTCTTAACGGATTTTACCCTAGCCTATTCTAATCGTAAGTGAATTATAGTGCAAAATGAAATTGATGTTCACGATTTTTTAGAATCTTCTTTTTTTCCCGAGTCATGTCTACATGTGTAGTTGCATATTCATAGGTATGCAAGAGCTTTGACTTCTCAACCTTTGTAGACTGATAATAAAAAAAATTATTTTTTTATAATTGAAGAAAAATTAATTTTAAAAAGTTTAGTGGGACAATGCTAAAGTTTATTTTATTTGGTTTTAATGGGAAAAATCAGCCTCAATTTGTGACTAAATTCTGTGAGTCACTTAATATTGGTCAACTAGTAGAATGACTTCTTTTGGCAAAAAATAATTTTCTTAACCTTTTCAAGAGGTATCGATCTCTAAAATTTTAATTCTATTTAGAAAATATGATGTGAACATCAAGTAATTTACTGAAGAAAATGAACTATCAGAGTTAAATTACTATGCTGAGTTGAATATATGGTCATAAGTATGATTTAATAGTGTAACTAGATGCTATTCAGAAAAACCACTGATTTGAAGGCAACCTCTTCTACTTTATATCAGAGCATAAGCAGTGTTGCATTTAGCTGTTCTGTATCTCACTCCTCTTGTCTCTGGACGATAAATGTCCTTAAGACTAGGTAAACACAAAGTACAAATATGATCATAAACCAAAATGTGAACAAAAACCATTGTCAATATGTCCTTTCATCAACATATTCATTTAGACAATAAAAGGAAAATGGCTTCCACGTGAGAAATGCTTACGTTAATTATTAAGAACAGATAATACCACTATTAACTGCAATCATGATTTAGAAAATGTGTTGACACCTGAGTTGTACTTTCATAGCACTGGTGTATGACCTTTGCTTACTATGAATAGACATGGTACAATTATTTTCTGGAATTACACATCACAAAACCAAGACATAAATTTTCCATGAGCAATTTACCTTTGCTTGCAGCTGTTCCATTTGCTCTACCATCTGAACTTTCTGTTAGAAACAAAGTGTACATTAACAATCCCAAATTTTAATCTCCCAAAATAAAGCATGGATATTAAATATAATGGTTTTACCTCATTGATAGTTTCAGTAGATTCCTTCAAATAATTAAAAAAAAGAACCATTAACCTTTACTACGAAAATGGTATTTTCAATGTATATTTAAAATTAAGGTACTTGGTAGGCTATTTTAATGCATTACTAATGGGAAAATTGAGGAAACTTATATTTAAACTATTTTGACATTCTGTATGAATTTATTCTATACAAGAAAGATGAGTGCCGTCAAGAGAGAAAAGTGAATTCGCTAGTATAGTATATAAAGAGACATATAAACAATGGTAATTCCCTCCACAACCATGGTACTTTCTCTACCTACAAATGCTCTTTAAATTCCATTTGATTCTTAAGACCAAAAGCACAGAGTTAAAATCACAGCCTAATGCCTATATATTGTAGTAGCTACTGTTAGTTCTCTTGTTAATATATTAGCCTCCAAATAAACTATGAGAAATAAATACTTCCTGCGAGGCATTTGTAGAATTCTGAAAAGTATATACTTTTCTAAAAACCAAAGGACACCACATGTGAATAAGTAGTTCAAGGTAAAGACATCAATGTGATGCGCTCAGGTAGATTTAGGACTACATTACATCTCACTAATTTTTATTTACCTAAATGACTGTTTAATAACCAAATGCATCCTTCTGCAAGCAGGTCTATGCACTATAGAGCACATATGTTATTTCTATTGGCATCTGTCTTTAGCTCAATCTGTAGTTCCTAGGCAATGAGTGATCCACAAAAGGCACATAGTAAACATTAAAACATAGATCAAACTGGGGAGAGCTCTTGGCAGAGAATTAGATGGTTATCTTCTCAGATAAAAGAGGGCAATGAAAAAATTTCAAATGAGAAACTAACTTGGTACATTATAGAATATGCAACAATCCTGATATTTTTCTGCCCTAATATATTGCAAAGCATATTTACCTGAGGCATGTTATAGTGACCTAGGACAATCTAACTCAGCAGAAGGACAGCAGTACTTCACTGTTCTAAGTTTAGAAGCTGGCTATGAGGGACAATTGCCTTACTGCACTGCTAGAAATGCTCTCAGTATATAAAACAATAATAATACATGTGTTTTAATTTATAGAACTAATTAGAACTTCTAAATCCTCAAAACTGTAGTTAGCTTAGGGTAAAACTCTTACCTCAGAGGAAACGCTGAGTGTTTCCTTTTGGAAAAAAAATAAACAAAGAAAACCATTACTAGTGACTATATATACCCGGCTACTGAACATGCTTCCTATTTGACTTTTCTGTCATCTACATCTTTCAGAAACTTAAAAAGCAAAAAAGTTGTTATATGCCTTTTAAAATCTTGAAAACTTACATTTACCATCTCTCTGATATTTTAGTAAACTTTTATTGGTACATTCTTATATTAGATAAACTTGTGCATTGTTTTTGAAGAGTGACAAAAAGAAGTCCTATTGCCTTGTTTTGTTGTCTTTTTCATCTGTTTTCCTTCCTGTTAGGGAACTGGTGGTCCAATAGTGCAGTAAGCATTGGTTCCAGCTTTGACACCCTACAGGAATCTTGAGATACTACGTGACCCTCAAAGAAGCAGTGATTAAATAAACATCTGAAACTCTCCATTAATTCTATACATAGTGGTCACTGCTGTTATCGTCTATAAGTGAGCAGACCATTCCCTATATCTGAATAAGTTAGAAAGTTTCTTTACATACCTCACTTGCGAAAGCAAGTGCCACAAGGCAGGCGAGGATGAAGACCTTCATGGTTGTTGAGTCCTGGGAATGAAAAGATGAAGAAGTTATAAGAGATTAATCAGTCAATTAAAGTCAAATTCTACTCTGGCTCCTAAGCACTCCTGTTGCTAAACATCAAATTCGGACTTCAGCAGCACCAGGAGGATTTTCAGCTCACTGTTCTCTTTCCTTCATTTTTATTAGATCTCTTTGTTAACAGGCGTATGGATGCATTACAAACGCTGCAAAGAAGTCATAACTGAGGAACCATTTAATAATCATTTATTTAAAACTATTTAGCACTTACAGTGAACAAAATAAGAATATCTCAGCACTAGGGAGCCTCACTTCTAGAGCGAATTGGTAGACAATGTGTATAAACTGTTGTGTTGCTTGTGGGTGATCTCAGCATGAAAATAAAATTTTAAATATATTTAAAAAGCATTCTTTCCAATACTTGATGGTTGAAAATCATTCTCTCTGTGATAATATGTTTTTTCTTCTGATGGATGTTTCATAATTTATTACTAACCTTTCTTTGCCTAAAACCTATTCCACCTAATTTAATTGTCCTAGTTTAAAAGAAAGTTGTACTGTTGTAGATTATGCATGTGGGGAGAATTCCACTGCATTTCTTATATTTTATTCTTACCATTTTATATGCCCATTTTTATTCTAGAACTTCATTGTTATCTGGTACGCTACAAGTTGCTTTTCTTTCACCCAATCATATTTCCATGATCACTGCTTCTAAGTAATATCTGACTTTTATACTTTCACAAGTAGAAGACTTTGTTTCTATTTTACACATGTCACAATGTTTTCTGAAATATTATAAGCTAGATAAAGGCTCTAAGATCGTGGACTAGTTTTATGGTTACAATCTTTTTGTTTAAAAACATGGAATTTGCTGCTTATAATTGTTGCCTAGTAAATATTTATCTTTCCGTGATATAATTTGGGTGCCTTTTTAAACTAAAATACATCAAATCAAATGAGATATGTATTTAAGAAATCAATTTTCAATCTCCTCTTAATATATTTACTGTCCTTCTATTTATTATTACTTATTCTCATTTTCCTGACGCCAGTAGTCATTGTAATTTGTATAAAATCTTTCTAGGCATTTCTGCATTTTTAACCCTAAGTTTTAAAATAATCTCTTCACTTCTTTTAAAATCTAATTTCAAACAACTTTATTTTAAGTAATTATATTATTTCCATAACCTAGTCTAGTTTCAAATAAATCATGAAAATAGTATGTAAATATCACCTCTGAAATCCTTACCTTTAGTGGAGGACAAGAGTCAAGGTGAAGCTGGGAAGATGATGGTCTATCTGCTTCTGCGACTGTATTTATACTATAGTTAATGATATGCTAATTTTGTGGCTTGTAAGACATTCAAGAAGTCCCTTCAATTCCAAGAAATCCACATGATTGGAAAATGGTTTCTTTCTATTTTCTGTCCTAAGAAATTCTGGGGTACATTAAACAAGGCAACAATTCAGAAGCTGGTGGAGCAAACTCATCCAGGAAATGCAATTGTTCAAATACTTAAAAAAAAAAAAAAAAAAAAAAAAAAAAAAAAAAACCTGGCTGGCCCTCCACTATAGTACCAGTTGCTGTAGACTCAATTCTCTTTGCACCTTAGTGGGGGCTTTAACCTCAGTTGCAGAGCAATCATACCTAGACATCGGAGATAGCCAGAGCTTTACCTAGGTCAGGATTTCATCTTCACCTGAGCACTGAGAACTCAACAATGACACAAGAGCCTAGTCATGTGCAGCAAACTCTTTGTCACTCACATTTGCCTGACTTGGGAAAAATTAATACTTCAAATCAGTATTTAGTACACAAAGGGATGTATTTCATATAGTAATAAAATAAATCAGAGAAGGGATCTGTAAAATTTGTATAAAAATAAAACTATGAATCTGTATCAAAAAGTTTGCAAAAAGGTACAACAATCAGTCTAATTCCTGGCTAAACAAAGCCTTAAGTTTCTACAACCAACACCAGTAAATGTGTTGCCTACTCTGCTTTCTCTCTCTCTCTCTCTCTCTCTCTCTCTCTCTCTCTCTCTTTCTCTCTCATTTCTTCCTTCCGTTCCGCCTTTTTCTTGAATATAGCCATAAAGATTTATTTATTTAATAAACAGTTATTTTTTCTACTTCAGTTATAATAACCCTAATAGTGATTACAGATTGTTTTTTACTTAATGTTATGATCAGCCACTAGATACATTATAAGTATCATATTTTTTAACAAAGCAATTTTTAAAGATTTATTTATTTATTATGTATACAACATTCTGCCTCTGTGTATGCCTACATGCCAGAGGAGGAAGCCAGATCTCATTATAGATAGTTGTGAGCCACCATGTGGTTGCAGGGAATTGAACTCAGGATCTCTGGAAGACATCTCTCCAGCCCCTTAACAAAGCAATTTTAAGTTGCTCTTTTCTCTCATTTAACATTTAGGAAATTGAGACAGCAAATGTTCAAGTAACTTGTTCAGTCCTGTTATTTTTAATAGCAAAGTTATCATACTCCTCATCTGTCTCACAAGTAATTTTATTTGGTCACATGTAAATCCCACAGCCCATATTTTAACTCTTCTAAGATTTTGTTTTGGGAAAAAAAACCCTCAGTTTTAATGTAGCATTTTTTGTTTCAATGTATAGAATTTAATTTGTCAAATATAGAAATGCTATATATTTGATGATGGTAGAAAGATGAGTTTGCTATTTTAGCTAGATCATGAAGAATAAGCAGAATTTTGAAATATCAATAAGTGGTACTCTATGTTATCTCTGAGGATCCATAAGGTGTAGACACTATAAGCAAATGTGGCAGACATTTGATAGAACCAGATTATGAATTCTTATAAATTTCAGATATTTTATTGACATGATTCACTGGAAATATGAAATTATATTAAAGATTTAAGAAAAGAAGTTTTATTGATTCAAAACATCATGAAAACATAAACCAATGGCAAATTAAAGGATGTAATTATACAAAGTTATTACTGTACTCTAAGACAGATTATTAAATCACTCTGAGTAGGGAGATGGTGCTAAGGAAATATGATGATGAAAAGGAAGGTGTCAAAAGTAGGAGAAATTACAGGAATAAATAAACAGGCTACGCCTATATAGTGATTGAAATGTCAGCTATGCTACAAATCAAGGTATGTAAAAGCAGAAAATAGATAGGGAATGGTGAGCTAATTGTGAAATTGGAAGGGAAAGATGGAAAGGGATTGAGAAAGTCAATATGATCATAATAGATGAAATAACTGAATGCTAATGTCATTTAAACCTCTTCATTTTCTCTAATAAATGCATGCAGATACTATTTTTAATGAGTTTACTGTACTTAAGACAATGAGAATCATAGCAAAGTATTGGGCAAAGGAAAGAACTGTTGGTCAAAAAGGAAGAGGCCAGTGGAGGGATCAGCTGTAGAGACACTCCAGGGGATAAATTCTGAGTTTTCGTTGCCTCAAAGTCACATTCATAAGACTAAATCCTATACAAAACATATCAGCTTTCTTAAGAGAGGAAGGGAAGAGGCTATCAAAGAATACAATATGAATATAAGGATATAGGGTCTAGAATATAAGGTTATGTGGTGATTTTTCATTACTCTTTGAACAAGTCTGAATCAACAAAAACTTAAGAATTTCAACATTATAGAGAAGACAATAAGTGGATAATGATTAGACCCTAAAAGTAATCATTCATGAATACTGCATGTAACATAAAAGTTATCAAGGGAAAGAAGTACATTCTGGATCAAATATGTATTTTGAAGTGTTTACATAGTAGCACATATGCAGTAATAAATAAATACTAAAGGTCAGACATACTCTCCATAGGAAAGCAGGCAGGAAACCTACTTCTGAAGAATAATGAGTATTTTAACAAATATGTGGTACAATGCAAGAAACAGATAAGGGACAGGTGGTTAATTTCAGAAGATGGTTAAGAAAGAGGAAAAGGAATGCACAAAGTCATGAGTTCTGGGCAGAACTAGGATAGAGGTCCAGACTGGGCTGACCTGACTGTAGCAGAGAATTCAAGGGTAAATATGGAATGAGCAGAGTTTTGGGTGTAAGGAACAAGTAACTAAACTAGGTCAAGCAGTTCATCTAGACCAGAAGATTAGATCTGAAGAGACAGGGAAGAGTAAAGAATGCTGTAGTCTTAGTAACACGGGGTGTTCTACAGACAGTGGGGGTGCATGGCAGGTTCTCAGGAGAGAGGCATTTGGATCATGATTGTTTCCATAGAACAATTATCTTAGCATTGATTAATTAGAGCAGAGCCATGTTTTTCTTTTTCTTTTCTCTCTCTCTCTCTCTCTCTCTCTCTCTCTCTCTCTCTCTCTCTCTCTCTCTCTTTCTCTTTCTTCTTTGCAGTAATAGAAAGGTTTTCAAGGAGGCAGAAACAAGGAGAAAAATTCACCAAATCTACAAAGATGCATAGTCAGAAGACAAAGGAGGCCTCAAAGCACTTGGTTTGCCAAGACGTACAAATGGCAGGTCCCAAATTTCATTGTCAACTTGATATCTGATATTTAGCTGTTTATTTTTGATGCTGGTCATTTTTATTTAGCTTTTTTCTATTATTTCTCTATCTGTAAGTATTTCTATTATTCTCTATCTGTAAAAGATAATTTTTTTCAAGTAAAAACTTTACCATGTGTCCAACTAATCATCATTTTCTTTGAACAGATATTACATTGACATTACGCTAAATTTATATTAGAGAGTGACACTCTTGACAGTCAAATCTGTTTTATAGTAATTGAGAAAGCAAAGACAATGACTATTGTATTTTGTTGTTTCTTGTTTGTTGGCTTGTTGTTTTCATGTTGATATTGACTCTAAGTCTGTGAGTATTCTAAGCCAAGGAGAATCCAGGAAATGAAAAGTTGAAATTATTCCAATGTCTTAAGCCACTTAGGAAACACTTTGGCAGCCCTGTGTATCCTTGTGCCAGCTTCCTGGATTGCTAATACCACAGGCGACAACGTATGATTTCCAAGAAAACTAATACAAAAGGGAGCATGCTCTAGTCGCGCAACATTTCCTTCTATTTTTCTCAGCAAAGTGCTTTACATCATGTGCAATAGGGCACTTCCTCAAGTAACACTATATATATATATATATATATATATATATATATATATATATGTATTTTTGCTCTTGTTTAAGGTTTTGTGCTTGTGCAGCTCATTTGAAAATGCAATGTATAATTAGAAATTATGGATTAATAGTCACTTATAATAGTCAAACTTGCAGTCATCTTAGTTGTGTTTTCTAGATATACAGAGATACATTTCAATTAGATAGACAATCTTCAGCACCTCAAATACCTACAGAAGATGGATTTAAAATGTTTTAAGAACTTAGGCTTTTCTCAACAGTGAGGCATGTCTGCTTCTGGCAGCACCAATTACTTCAGAGAGGGTGATGGGCATTGAAGAAACTCGTTATGGAATTTGTCTTCAATGTGACAAGTCTAGCCATTTTGGCAAGAAATTAGTCTTGCTTGATCGTATACTGTATAAATTGAACATTCAGGACTCAAAGAAAAGTTGACTGCTGAACTTGCCTAAAGAATCTGAGACGATCTGGTGTGGAATTCCTCTCTGTATGCTGTGAATATGTTTTATTATCATTGGTTAATAAAGAAGCTGCTTCAGCCATGGTAGGGCAGAATAAAGCCAGGCAGAAAATCTAAACAGAAATATAGAAAGAGAGTAGGCCAAGTCAGGGAGACGCCATGTAGCTGTCGGAAGACATAGATACAGGAAATTACCAGTACACCACAGCTTCATGGTGATACACAGATTAATAGAAATGGGTTAATTTAAGATGTAAGAGCCAGCTAAAAAGATATGCCTGATTGACCGGGCCAGGTGTTGTAATTAATATAGTTTCTGTGTAATTACTGGGGTCTGGGCATTCAGGAAATGAATGAGCAGTCTCCACTTACACCCACCAGCCTCAAAAGCAGAAATAACCCAGCATATTGACAGAAGGTATTTTCTTACACTGCTTTGTTTCCGGTTCCTTACAGCATTCATAGAGAACATTTTTAAATATGTGTATTCTAATAAAGGTTACATAATACAAAATATGATATCAACTTATTATATTTGTGACATTTCTATTTGAAATGTTATTTTTCTCATTCTCCTTTAAGCCAGATGGAAATATGATAACAACAGTATTTCACTTCCCATTGACAAAGCATGTTCACAGCCTTCAGCAATCATCTAGTTCACGGAAATAATTA